TGAATGGAAGAAGGCAGTACAAGATGAGATTGATGCACTTGAGAAGAATGGGACATGGACTATCACGGATTTACCAGGTGGGAAAAGGCCCGTGGGGTGCAAGTGGATTTTCACTATAAAGTACAAGGCAGATGGATCAGTCGAGAGATTCAAGGCTCGGTTGGTAGCTAGAGGATTTACACAATCCTATGGAATAGACTATCAAGAGACTTTTGCTCCTGTTGCAAAACTTAACACTATCAGAATTCTTCTTTCATTGGCAGTCAACCAAGATTGGTGCTTGCAACAACTGGACATAAAAAATGCCTTCCTAAATGGTGACCTAGAAGAAGAGGTCTACATGGAAATTCCACCTAGCTTCGAAGGAAGTATGACAAAGAATCAGGTTTGCAAACTCCGAAAGTCCTTGTATGGCCTTAAACAATCTCCCCGAGCCTAGTTTGACAGATTCACAAAGGCAGTCTTGAAGCTTGGCTATGTACAGGGTCAGTCTGAACATACTCTGTTTGTCAAGAAATCTCATGCCGAGAAAATTGCCATATTGATAGTGAAGAAAAACAGAGAGAATTTTTCTTAGTTTATTTCATCAGCCGAAACATACATTTATACAGAAGAGGAGATTACCAACAGCTGGTAATTCCTTGATTTACTCCGTCAAATCCTATAGAAAAGGAAAACTAATTAGCTAGTTATGGAAACTAATCTACAGCTATTTACAGCCTAGTAGATCTTCTATTTACAGCCCATTACTGCCTAATATCTCCGGAATTCCACAATAATATTCCTTATTCTGAACTTCAGGTTTATACGAGAAAGAGATTTCGCAAAGATGCGATGGCACTAGTTATTTCCTCAGCAGATGTTCAATCTGATTAGAGTAATGGTCCTTCCACAACTAGTCAGAGTAATCCGTCCTTCTTTTTCATCCTTCTCTATCACTTGAATTGCCTGATTCATCCTTAAATGATCTTTATCTTCCAATAGCTCTAAGAAAAGGAACACGAACTTGCACTAGACATCCTATTGCTAAGTATTTGTCTTATGGAAGGTTGTCAGACAATCATAAAGCATTTGTGTCTAGGATTTCTAATCTGTTTGTTCCAAGAACTGTGCAAGAGGCATTAGGTGATCCGAATTGGAAATCGACAGTAATAGAAGAGATGAATGCTCTGAGGAAGAATGACACTTGGAGTGTGATTGACCTTCCAATTGATAAGAAGACAGTACCGTGAAATGTAAAGCCGATGGTAGTGTGTAAAGATACAAAGCAAGACTCGTAGCAAAAGGATTCACTCCAACTCATGGTATAGACTACCAAGACACCTTTGCTCTTGTTGCTAAAATAAATTCCATCAGAATACTTCTTTCTCTTGCTGTTAATTGCAACTGGCAACTCCATCAGTTGGATGTCAAATACACATTCTTAAATGGAGATCTACAAGAAGAAGCTTGCAACTGGCAACTCCATCAGTTGGATGTCAAATACACATTCTTAAATGGAGATCTACAAGAAGAAGCTTACATGGATCTACCTCCCGGATTTGAAGAATGTCTTGGGAAGGGTAAAGTGTGTAAGCTAAAGAAATCCCTGTATGGTCTAAAACAATCTCCAAGAGCCTGGTTTGAGTGTTTTGGAAATGTTGTCAGAAAGCATGGCTTCTCACAGAGCCAAGATGATCGTACATTGTTATTCAAACACTCAACTAGAGGTAAACTAGCTATCTTAATTGTGTATGTGGATGATATAATCATGACAGGAGATGATCTTGTAGAAATCAACTTGAAGAAGTTAAATGTTGAATTTGAGATCAAAGATCTGGGAACTCTAAAGTACTTCCTGGGTATGGAATTTGCCAGATCCAAGGAAGGCATCTTCATAAACCAGCGAAAGTATGTTCTCGATTTACTTAAAGAAACATGTATGACTAGCTGCAAGGCAGCAAATACTCCGATTGAGTCTAATTTGAAGCTGGAACCAACTATTGTTGACAAAATAGTCGACCGAGAACGATACCAAAGATTAGTTGGAAGACTAATCTATGTGGCTCACACGCAATAGCTTTCGCAGTAAGTGTGGTAAGTCAGTTTATGCACTCACTTGGGACTACTCACTTTGAAGCTGTGTTCAAAATTTTAAGATATCTTAAGGGAGCTTTTGAGAAGGGACTTCTCTTCAAGAAAAAGGGATCATCTTCATATAGAAGCCTACACTAATGCAGATTGGGCAGGCAGTATAAGTGAAGAGATCCACCTCAGGTTACTGAACGTTTGTTGGAGGAAATTTGGTTACTTGGAGGAGGAAAAAAACAGTGTGGTAGCAAGAAGCAGTGCTGAAGCCGAGTTTCGCTCAGTGGCACATGGATTCTGTGAAGTTTTATGAATAAAAAGACTTTTGAAAGATTTGAGGATTTCTATACCTACACCTATCAAGGTCTATTGTGACAATAATGTAGCAATCTCAATCGCACACAATCCAGTTCTACATGACAGAACAAAACATGTAGAAGTGCATAAACACTTCATCAAGGAGAAGTTAGATAGCGGTGTGATATGTATGTCCTACATACCAACCACTAGCCAAGTTGCAGATATTCTAACCAAGGGTCTTCCCAAGGCACAGTTTGAAAGTTTCATCAGCAAGCTTGCCATGAATGACATATTCCCGCCAGCTTGAGGGGGAGTGTTGGAAGATTGCTAAAATAATAGTAATCAATTTGTACTATATAAGAAATGTAGATAGGCTATCATCCCAACTATCAAAGAGGGTTTCTAGGAGGACTGTAGATAGGCTGTCATCCCGACTGTCAAAGAGGGATTCTAGGAGAGAATTATTTAGCTAATTATTTCTCTTAAATTAGGAAGATTAGTTACCTTTTTCGTACATTAGCAGGGAACTTTATATTCTTGTGTAATTTAGCATACAATTGAGCAATTTGATTATTCATTCAAGCTCCTATTCTCTGTTTTTAACTCTTTTGTTTTGTTTTGTTTTTTTTTGTTTGGGTTAAACACAAAAGTAGACAGAGTAATGCAAATTTAATTAAATTGTCAAACAAAACATCTAAAAGTACAGTAATCATGGGAGAGATTTGGTTACCTAACTTTTGGCAATTTTATTTTAAGAACCAATTTGCCTTTGGTTGGATTCTGCCGAGTGGAGTTGGTGGCTTGAGAAGCGCGCGGCCATTCCCGGTGGTGGGCAGAGGCGAAGTGGCTGAGACGTAGGAGATGGCGTCGAAGCGCGAGGAGATTTTGGCGTCGATGACTGGTCGGAGACACCAGGATTTGGTCGGCAGAAGAATTTGAGGCGAATGGGACCACTGATGGTGGTGTAGCAGTAGAGATGGAGTGCGACGATGGGAAACGTCGCGGCTATTTGGCCTTGCGTTCTTTGAACCTCTCTTTTTTTTTTTTTTAAAAAAAACTGACTTACGTGGGTTGGCCTTTGTGAGGCGTGGCCTTGAGGGGAGTGGGTTAATTGGTTGATGTACGAGAGTTTATTTTTTTTCTTTTTTCTTTTCAAATAGAAGTGATGTTGGGTGGGGTGGGGTTTACGGCTGATTGTTACTGGTTTGGGGTAATAAAGTTAGGGGGAAAGTTGGGGCAGCAGGGATGTGGAAAGTGAGGGGAAAAAAATTTAGAATTTAGGCCAAGGAAAGATTAGGTCAGATACCAAATTGATGTAGGATTGAGTAGGGAAAAAAGAGAGAAGAAGAAAAGGAAAAAGAGGGAAAAAAAGGAAGAAGAATTAAGGTATAAGAAGAGGAGAATTTAGAGAGAGAAAGAGAACTTTAAAGATAGGAAAATTGAATATCTGTATTATCAATCAATTAGTTTTGAAAAACAATGAACAATACTAGGCCTATTTTTAGATGGGCAATTCAAACACTAATAGGAAACTAAATGCAATTAGGAAACCGAGTACAATCGGAAACAAAACATAATAGGAAACTAACTTAAGAAAATAACTAGTTATCAAAAACTAAATATAATAAAAGAAAGAAAATAAAAATAATATCCTAGTTTCTATATTTGCGCCTTACATAATAACGGAAACTAGTATTGTGATCTCCATCATTATTATGTTTTGAGTTATGTATTAAGTCTACGCCAATTGTTATTTACTTCTCAGGTTTTATCAGAGGAGGAGCAGCATGCCCTTGCGGCTACTCCAGCCCACCCAACAGGATTATATGGTAAGACCCTCTTACTGAACAAGTCAAAGCACGTGTGGAATGAATTTGAAAGAATTTCATTTGCATGTTGTAACAATAGTACAAGACCTTTCCTCCAATAAATTGATCTAAGTCTTATTTATTGCTGATTTTATGGGTCAATAAAATGAAGAAAACAATATATGGCAGTGATTTTGTATATTCAGAATAATTTCTGACCAGAGTGACATATGTTTCAGCTTTATATGCTAGTTGCTTGGCTGGAAATTTAGTGGAACAGCTTTGGAGTTTTGCTTGGCCATCCGCTATAGCATTGATACATCCTAGCCTTCTACCGGTGGCAGTCATGGGTTTCTTCTCTAAGGTTGCGATGTATATAGTGTAGTGAAGTTAACCATATATGGGCAAGAAAGAGGAGAATATACTAAAATAACAAGTTATGTCTCATGTTTAACAGGTTGCAATAATTGTTGGAGGCCCTTTAACTGGCAAGTTTCTAGATTACTTTCCTAGAGTCCCCGCATATAATTATTTAAACGTTATACAGGTAACTAGTTTCATTTTTCTTATGGATCATAGCTTCATTGAATCCAGTTTATCACTATATTTTTCTCCTAACAGGCTTACAAACTTGTCTCTGTCAGGCAGCTGCTCAATTGTTATCTGCAACTATGATAATTCATGCTCATTCTGTCCCTCTGTCTTCTGGGTCATCCTTGCTCCTCCGTCCTTGGTTTATTGTACTTGTACTAGCTGGAGCTGTTGAGAGGCTATCTGGAGTAGCACTGGGGGTTGCAATGGAACGTGATTGGGTTGTGCTGGTAGTGCCTCTCTTAGCTGTCCTTGTTCAGTTAAAATCTAAATGAGTCTGTTTCCAATTACACACATATTTTACATTGTTACTGTGGGAAATCAGAGATTATTTTTCATTCATCCCGTCAAAGAACTTGGATACAAATATATACACTAGGCTATCAATACAATCTTAGGAAGTTGACTATTCTAGAATAAGGAAACTAGGATATTTACAGCTTAATTTCTTATTTAACAACACAAATCTTGCCTATTATTGATACCAATCTTCTCATACTATTTTTGGGATATGTAATCTTAGATTTCCAACACTCCCCCTCAAGCGAGGGAATAGATATTTTCCATTCCTAGCTTGCATATGATTCTTTGGAATGTTGAACTCGCTAGACCCTTAGTTAGAACATCTGCTAGCTGGCCCCTGGTAGAAACATAGGGAGTACTTATTAACCCATATCGAGCTTCTCCTTTATGAAATGCCTGTCGACCTCCACTTGTTTAGTCCCGTCATGTTGGACTGGATTGTGAGCAATGTTCATTGCAGACTTATTGTCACGGTAAAGCTTCATCGGTGTCTGCCACTTTATCTTCAGATCATCTAGTATAATCTTGAGCCATAACAACTCACAAATCCCCTGTGCCATAGAACGAAACTCTACCTCTGCACTGGACCTGGCAACCACCGGTTGTTTTTTGCTTCTCCAAGTTACTAAATTTCCACCAAGGAAAGTACAATACCTAGATGTTGATCTTCTGTCAGTAACCGAACCAGCATAATTTGCATCCGTGTAAGCTTCAAGTTCCATCCTTATGCCTTTCTTGAACATAATTCCTTTTCCAGGACAGCCTTTCAAGTACTGCAAGATTCTGTACACCGGAAAAAGATGACTTTCCTTAGGATTCTGCATGAACTGACTTACTACACCCACGACATATGTGATGTCTGGTCGTGTGTGACAAATAGATTAACTTCCCAACAAGTCGCTGGTACACGCCCTTGTCAACTAGTTCTCCTCCCATGGATTCTCCTAGTCTATGATTCGGCTCAATAGGACTGTCCAATGGCCTTCACCCTCATTTGCCCGTTTCTTTCAGCAAGTCCAGGACATAATTCTGTTGTGAGACAAAAATCCCTTCTTTGGACCGAGCAACTTCTATTCCCAGAAAGTACTTTAGTTTCCCGAGATCTTTTATCTCGAATTCTTTTTGCCAAATACTTCTGCAGTGCTTCCTTCTCCTCCGGATCATTCCCAGTCACGATAATATCGTCCACATACACTATCAAGGCAGTAACTCTCCCTGAAGCTGAGTGTTTGATGAATAGTGTATGATCCCCTTGGCTCTGTCTATAGTTCATAGCCAACATTGCTTTGGTGAATCTCCCCGAGGAGATTGTTTAAGCCCATAAAATGCTGTCGGATTGTACAATTGTCAAGGGAGTGTCGGATTGTATAGTTGTCAATCAACATGTATATATTAAAGTTAGGATTTTATGTTGATCCCATGAATTATGGGATTTGTAACGTTGGCATTAATTTCTTAATTTTAGGCAGTCAGTTTAGTTTCCTTTTTTGCTTCCTAGAATAGTCTATATATTGCTGTAACCTACAACTACAATTGACTAAGAAAAACCTTATTCTCAATCTCTTTTCTGCGTTATGGTATCAGAGCCCTAGGCCTCTTTTTTTGGGTTTCTACCTTTGTGCAGCCTTTATCGCTGCTTTGTTTTTCCTCTTCCGGTTTTATCCTTAATTGCTGAGTACAGTGTCATGTTCTTCTCTGGTTTACAAACTTGAAACAAAGTCCTTTTTTTTGTCTGGATTTGACTGCAACCTTCATTGCTACGTTTCAAGCCCTCACTTTCCTCCTTTTTTGTCCTTGATCATCATGGCTTCTGAAACCACGGTTGTCTCTTCTCAACACTATAAAGTGAGCACTTCTGCTTCATCTGACGAAGTCAACTCACATTCGATGATTGGAGACTTGCAGAATGTTCGAGCTACATATAGGTTGCATGAGAAAAATTACCTCAAGTGGTCTTAGTTTGTTAGAACATACCTGAAGCGTAAGGGGAGGCTGAGTCATCTTCTCGGGACAGGACCAAAGAAAGGAGATATCCGACATTTGAAGCATGGGATGAAGCTGATTCCATGATCATGTCATGGTTATAGGACTCAATGGATCTTGCAATTAGTGATACTTGTATGTTTTTGACAACTGCAAAGGAGATTTGGGACTCCATTCGGCGAACCTACTCAAAAGCGCATGATGCAGCCCAAGTGTATGAGATAAAGTGAAGACAAGTGTTGCCAAACATAAAGTGATACTTGTATGTTTTTGACAACTGCGAGGGAGATTTGGGACTCCATTCGGCGAACCTACTCAAAAGTGCATGATGCAACCCAAGTGTATGAGATAAAGTGAAGACAAGTGCTGCCAAACATGGAGCAAAACAGTGATAGAATATGCTAATTTACTGCAGGGCTTATGGCAGGAACTCGATCACTATTGGGTATTTGAGATGAAGTGCCCAGAAGATGATGCCATCTTGAAGAATTTTATTGAGAAGGATCGAGTATATGATTTCCTGGTTAGACTCAATCCTGAATTTGATCGAGCAAGGATTCAAATACTCGGCAGAGAGGAAACACCTTCCCTGGAGGAGACGATTTCTCTAATTCGTGCAGAAGAGAGTCGAGGTGTAATGCTTGAGCCACAGGCTTTAGACAGTTCAGCCTTGGTAACAAAAACTGAACAACCTCAGGTGCAAGAAAGAAGGAAAGCAGATCTGTCAAGGTTCTCGGGAAGAGACAACAAAAACAACCAATAGAGGGACAAGAAGGATAATATGTGGTGCACCTATTGTAAAAAACCGAGACATACCAAGGGGAATTGCTGGAAATTAAATGGTAAACCACCTAGCCGAGAATGGGAAAATCGTGGAGGTTAGCAGAGGATTCAATCTTAGGCTCATCTGACAGAACAAACCAATCAGAGTGATGGACAGGAGAAAGGAGGACTCAATAGTGAAGAGATCGAAAAACTTAGGGGCTTGATAGGATCTCTTGAGAAGCCTTCTGGTACATGTTCTTTGGCACTCTCAGGTAAGTCTTCATTGCCTTTTGGACCTCATGTCTCAGAAAAGTGTTTGACCAACCATTGGGTAATTGACTCAGGAGCCATAGATCACATGACTCACGCCTCACAATATTTCAACACTTATACTCCGTGTCCTAGTAGTATGAAGTCGGTAAATCAGGAATATTTGGTTAGGATTTGATTATTAGAGATTTGAATAAATTAGGAAAGTTATATCCTAGGATCAAGTGATAGAATAAAATCCCTGATTATATGGGATCCTAGGGTTAGCCTTGTATTACCTTCTTTTCTATTTAAAGATGTTTTATTTCTCTGTAATATATACAATGAATAAGAGAGTTATTCTCTCCTTTCTTCCTCTATGAATATCTATATGGTATCAGAGCTCTAGGGCTCGATCATGAATTTTAAAGCCGCCATGGTTGGCTATGGTTCAGCCTCTTCAGATGCCACCAGTTGTACGACTTCATCAGAGGCAGTTTCCCAGCCAATTCCGGCCGTTTCTTTCTCTGAGCATTCTCTTCAAATTACCATTCACAAATTGAATGGAAAGAATTACCTTGAGTGGTCTCAATCTGTACGTTTGGTGATCGACAACAAAGGGAAACTCGGGCACTTGAATGGCGAAATAAAACCGCCAGCCACCAATGATCCAAAATACAGGCAATGGCATTCAGAAAATTCAATGGTGACTGCCTGGCTGATCAACTCGATGGAACCAATTGTTGGTAAGCCCCTTCATGTTCTTGTCGACGGCCCGTGATGTCTGGGAGGCAGTCCGGGAAACTTATTCAGATTTGGACAATCATTCGTAATTGTTCGAATTGAACACTCGAATGTGGAAGATGCAGCAAGGTGACCATGAGGTAACAGCCTACTATAATGATATGATGGCGGTTTGGCAGGAGTTGGATATGTTTGAAGATGAACAATGGGAAAATTCGAATGATAGTGCTCGGTACAAAAAGAAGATTGAGAGAGGCCGGGTATTTGTGTTCTTGGATGGCTTGAATAAATAACTCGATAAGGTTTGAGGACGTATATTAGGGAAAAGACCCTTGCCGACGATAAGAGAAGTTTTTGCAGAAGTGCGTAGAAAGGAAGCACGGGGGCAAGTGATGTTGAAGAACATCGAAACCATTTTCCATGATTCACAGTGATATTTGGGGTCCTTCTAGAGTGCCAACCTTTTCTGAAAAACGCTAGTTTGTTACTTTCATTGATGATCATACTAGAGTCACTTGGGTTTTCCTTTTAAAAGAAAAATCTGATGCAGAGACTGTGTTTAAAATTTTTTTATAATATGGTTCAAACACAATTTCAGACTCAGATTAAAATTTTCCGAAGTGATAATGGAAAAGAATTTTTTAACAATGTGTTAGGGAATTTTTTTGCCGGAAGAGGGATTGTACACCAAAGTTCTTGTAATAATACACCTCAACAGAATGGGGTGGCTGAAAGAAAAATCAGACATCTCCTTGAAGTTGTTAGAGCTATAAGTTTTAAAACTAAGGTTCCTAAGTACCTTTGGGGAGAAGCAGTTTTAACAACCACTTATTTGATTAATAGGCTGCCTACGAGAATTTTGAACTTTAAAACACCAATAAAGGTTTTCATTGAATGTTTTCCCAGATATTCCCTTAAAAATATTTGGAAGTGTGGCTTTTGTTCATAATCATGATCCTAGATGTTCTAAGCTTGATCCAAAAGCACATAAGTGTATTTTGGTAGGCTATCCTACAAATTAGAGAGGGTATAAATGTTTTGATCCAGTTTTCAAAAAAATGTTTGTCTCTATGGATGTCACGTTTTTTGAAGGACAGTCCTACTACATCAATTCCATCTTCAGGGGGAGAACACTAGTGAAGATGATTTTCTAGATGGTTCAACTTTTGAGTTTATTCAAGATGATTCTCACAAACAGTTACCTAAAGAGAATGATATGGAAAATACAAAG